CAAAAATGACTGAAATTTTATATGCTCTCCTAAATATAGCCCATTATTAGAAGATACAGTTTTAAGCGTCTGAGATTGTCTATTGGCTGCTAAAATTAAAATTTTGTAGGGTGGGCTGTCATTATTGCCTGCACTGTATATATATATATATATATATATATATATATATATATATATATATATATATATATATATATATATATATATATATATATATATATATATATATATATATATATATATGTTATGTTATGTTTTTCTTTTTTTTTTTTAAAAAAAAGAGTTACACTGAAGTTCCTCAAACACCATTATGCACAGCTTCAATAATGGCAGAAGATGCTGAAATGCTAACCGAAGCAAAAGTAATGTTATATTTTATTTATCCCAATATATTGTTGCCTAATAAAAATGTATAAAGATTTTATTTTCAAACATAACAAATATTTAGGATGAAATGACCCTAGCGCTTCAAGAAATGAGGCTTCCACTTGATGAACAGATTAAATTAAAAGAAGTACAAGTCTCCTCAAATCCTTTGTTAAACAGAAGAAAGAAGGTAATTTGGCAGTATAATTGATAATATATTATTTATTTTAATATAATATCATAATTTATTATAATGTAATTTAACTAATCGAGCTCAAATCATTTGCAATAATAAACAATAAGAAACATGAAAGCACTTTCAACTTTCCAATTCTTATCATTTGCATAATTTATTTTCACTTCATTATGATATTACTATATATATATATATATATATATATATATATATATATATATATATATATATATATATATATAATATATATATATATATATATATATATATATATATATATATATATATAACTGCTCATATCAGAGTATTAACAGTGTTGTGCATGGTGTCTCTGGTAATGCTTTTGGTGTGCATTGTTGAGACCATACAAGAATATCTTTGATTAAAATTTGAGCTCATTTAACATAAAAAAGCAATGCAATTGCATAGTTATGCATTAATTTAAACATGAATAAAGTCTCAAAATCGAAAAATTTTATTTAAAAAAAAAATCCATTATTACCAAATAGTTTCAATCGATCCTTTACATGGTCTTTAAAGTTTATCATGGTCTTTAAAGTTTTCAATTGTCAAACTCTTTGCAAAGTTCTTTAGACCTACTTCCTCTCTCAAAACTAATTTGAATTCAGCTTTTTCATCTTTGATATAAACTTTTTATTACTTATATATTTTTAAAAATATGTCAAATTTACAAATCATTAAGAATCTAGATTAATGGTTAGTGAACCGTATAAAAAAAAGAAAAAGAGAAATTTCTAAAAAAGCGTCACAACAGTTTCAGTATCTCTAAAAAGATAATCAAAAAAAAAAGCGGTCATAAATTTAGCTTTGGATATAGCAAATAATAAATATTCTTGCAGTAGTACTTGCAGAATAACATAAAATCAGCCAGACAAAAATACTAAAAATAGAAAATTGTCAAATCATTAAATTATGAAAATAATTTATTAAAAAAAAATGATATAACTAGAGAGGAGCAATAGGTCAGCAATTCAATTCCTGTATATGCAATTTCTACAAGAAGTCAGTAGTTAAAGATAATCATGTAAACATATATGTGATTAAAAGAAGAAGTCAGTAGTTAAAGATAATCATGTAAACATATATGTGATTAAAAGAAGAAGTCAGTAGTTAAAGATAATCATGTAAACATATATGTGATTAAAAGAAGAAGTCAGTAGTTAAAGATAATCATGTAAACATATATGTGATTCTAGAGAATGTTATGACATATGAAAATATCTTATTATAAATTTCTGTTACCTATATGTAACAGAAATTACCAGTTTAATAATACAAGTATATTATTTTAACAGATTTCAGCTACTTTTAAGAATAAAAAAAAGAGTCTAATTTTCTAGAACATAGTCTGCGCTCTTAAAATTTTTAAAATTAACCAGATAATATTTTGCTTATAGCTAATTGCTCTTTTCCAAAATTACGTTTAACACAAGGATTCGTCAATCATATTTTCTGGAGGGGAATTTTGCCATTATTACACAAAAAAAGATTTACTGAGGCCGTTAATATTGAAAATGATTTTAAAACATTGTCAGGTGAGATGTGAGGCCAAGGTTTAAAAAAATTACCCGGTGAGAAGTGAGAACTTCGTAATAGTTTTTTCGCAATAATAATTTTTGTAATAGCGTAAATGCCTAAAATTCAAAACGACTTTATCATGATATCCTTTGTAAAATTCAGCACGTAAACTTTATCATGATATCCTTTTTTTGTAATTTAAACATCAAATATTAAAATAGTATTTATTTTAACTACTACCAAGTGCGTCGCTCCCAATGGATTTAATACCTACCAAGTCACTCCCAATGGGTTTAACCTACAAAGTGCGTCTCTCCCAATAGATTTAAGTTATGCGTGGCATAAGGTATTGCATGGATTTAAAATAACTTTTTACTGTGAATGGCTTTACGAAATTTTTTTTTTTTTTTCTTTCTTTTAAATTAATGATTAAAATAAAAATTGTTTCAAAGTTTTGGATATTCACCTAAGATTTTGATATCAACAGATTTGTAACTTCTATAATAAGTTTTCAAAGAATTCACAGTTTTCGTTGGCATTTTTATTGATCTTGATTTTTAAGGACTACTGTTATTCATATGTTCGTAAAGCGAAACTTTCTAAAATTACCATTTTTTACCAGCATTTACCATTTTTTTTTTTTTCTTGGTTTTTTTTTTTTTTTTTTTTTTTTTTACTCTATAAAATATTTATAATAAAATTGTAAAATATTTATAATAAAAATATATAATATATATTTAGAAAGTCAACAATGTTTGAAGCAAGTTTCAGAATTTATTTCTGCACGTGAAAAGGAAAATTTGCAAAGAAGAATTTGCAGTGATTTCAGCTTTTATTTCTTTATGCTAAAGTAGGTTTTGCTTAAGTTTGACGTTCGAAAAAATTTAACGTCAATATATTTCGTGAGTTTTAAAAAAGTGATTTATTCATTTCAAAATGATTTTGAAATATTTTAGTTTAACTTCTTTAAAACTTAAGTTTCATTTTTAGCTGTTGATAAAAATAGCTGTTCCATTTTTTTAAAAGGTAATTTTTATTTTTTTAATCCAGTGTTCATTTTTATGGGAGTTCTCCTGCTTTTGAGAAATTCTTAATATTGTACAAATATTTTTATATGTTTATATTTCTCTGGTAATAATTTTCTCTGTAGTGTTTCAGCTATTTTGAAACAATAGATTTTCTTAACTTTTTAATCAAAATTTTATTTTGTCTACTTTTGTGAGAATTTTTTACCAAATGTTATATAAAGGTTTATATTTTTTTCGGAGATGATAATAGATTTCCGCTGATAGTTTCCACTAGTTTTGTAATTAATAATAAAAATTACGGAGGATGATAATTTATATAAGTGAGCGAACTTAAAAAGTCAATGAAATTTATAAACGAAAAAGTATGAACATGTGTTGGTTGCAACAGAAAAAAATGTCAACAACTCACAAACAAAATATAAACAGTAAAAATTTGAAAAACGAAGAAAATATTAAATACAAGATAGCAGAACTTGAAAGTCTTTTTGAGTTTTTTGCTTTATAGCGCAGTGTGTGTTATTATAACAATCTAGGAGGAAAAAAGCTAATTTTTATCTCAAAGTTTATTTTGGTTTAATATTTCAATAGTAGGTAGACCATATATTGAAAGACCAAACTAAATTTAATTTTAAATCAATGCAGTAGCTAAATAATTCTTTTGAGCACATGCCTAGTTTTAAAATTGTGAAACAGATTTGTAGAAAATATTACAACTTTAGTAAATGTGAACGTTGAGCGTCTGAAACTTCATTCTAAAGTGCTATATTTTGAAATAAGTATTGTTACAGTTTTATCTTTTATTATTGTTTTCAGCTTTTAATAAATATCTTTTACTAACTTGTAGAATTCTATCAAGAAGTAATTTTAAATCAAATCATAAAGTTTTAGAAGTTATGTCCCAGCCGGCACAAAGACGTCTATAAGACGTCTAACGGTAACTTAAGAAAGCGTCTTAAGTAAGTACGTCTTAAGACGTCTATCTGATAACACCTTTAAGACGTCTTGTATAGACGTCTGTAAGACATATTGCCACAAACGCCTGTAAAAAGTTTAGTACTAGATGTTTCAGACGTCTATTTTAAAACTCGCCTGAACATCTTAAGACGTCTATTTGCTAACACCTTTAAGACTATTTGCCGATTCGTCTATGGGACGTTCTCATAGCATTTGTAGTATTACATACCGAATCGACTAATAAAAAAGATTTGACCATTAAATTATATTTAAAATCATATTTCATATTTTTTTACATTCAAGATAACCAAAACATAAAAGGAACTATACACTGCAATAAAACATACTGCATCAATATTATTTTTTATACGACTGCTATCTTTTTTGCTCGCGTGGAGTCATTTCTAAAGAGGCTCTGAACAACTTGATAAAATTCTTTTTGCTTCATCTTTAGGAGCTTGAGCGTCACTACTTTTTATATTGTTTTATAGGTCTTGGTTTCGCCAAAAGCTAACTCATTTTGGCTTCATGTTCATTTCACGCATGACTAAATTTGTGAAAAACCGTTTGATTATGTTCTTGATTATATCTTTTGTAATTAAGCCTTCCTATAGGCTTTAGTTGTAAAATCTAAGAAGTAAAAATTACATTAAAATAGCAGATTCTAGTGCCTTAACACACACATATCGTGTGTGTGTTAAGGCAGTAGACACCAACATGTTAAATAATATCGACATGTTAAATAATATTGATATATTAGTCTTACTTTTTCTTCTAGGAACGAATCCAATTTCATATTTTCTTCAAACAGAAAAAACTCCTCTTTAGATTTTATACACTCTATATCAAATAAAAGATATTGGAGGTACAATTCATACAACATCAAATAAAGATATTGGAGGTACAATTCATACAACATCAAATAAAAGATATTGGAGGTACAATTCATACAACATCAAATAAAGATATTGGAGGTACAATTCATACAACATCAAATAAAGATATTGGAGGTACAATTCATACAACATTCTCAATTTATTCAGCATTAAAATTTGGACTTAAAAAAATCTAAACTTCTAATACTAAATAAATTGAGCTTCCTACTATTTAATTTAATCAACTATACAATAAATAAATTTAAACTCACAATAAATAAATTTAAAGTAATATAAAAGAAATTTCTAATTTAATTGATGATTAAAAATTTAAAATAATTAAATAGCCCAAACTTACTTTCATTTGATATACGGTATGTTAAACTTGAACTTGGAGTTTGAATTAATTCATCTGAGTTATTAATTTTGCTAAAATGAAAAAATTTTAACATTTTTAAAATCATTGGAGAAGATTTTGAACATAAGTTCAGTTTTTAGAATTACAATTGTGCAATACCTGAGGTGTAGGAATTGTAGACTTCATCACTTTTTTTCGCATAATGCTAATGTGTTATTTAATCATTTAAACATGGTAGCCACCTACTTTAAATCATTTAAACATGGTAGCCACCTACTTTAAATCATTTAAACATGGTAGCCACCTACTTTAAATCATTTAAACATGGTAGCCACCTACTTTAAATCATTTAAACATGGTAGCCACCTACTTTAAAAATTAAATTCTCTGATTTTTTCCAGATTTATCACAAATAAATTTAAATTTGCTGACAAAAAAAATTAAAATATTCAATTAAAACAAATTGTGAAAAAAAATTTGATAAGTTGAAAGTTTTCTTTGGTTTGTTCTGAAAATAATTTAAACTCCATACATTTTCACTGACCTAAAAAAAATTACCTAACTTTTCCCTGATTTTTAACATTTTGCCAACCCTGATATATACCGCTACTATATAACAAATAACGCTACATATTTAAAGTAATGAAATAATTAAACAATTAATATTTATGATGAACTTTTTTGTTTTGAAACCTTTCTGATAATTGGTGATTCCTATGTTGAATAGTCACAATCATCCCAATCACTTGTTAAACTTGGTTTTTGCTTTCAGTGTCAAGTATTATCAATTCAGTGTGAAGTATATCAATTCAAATTTATTATTCAAAGTATATCAATTCAACATCAACTTAAAGTATATCAATTCAACATCAACTTAAAGCATATCAATTCAACATCAACTTAAAGTATATCAATTCAACATCAACTTAAAGTATATCAATTCAACATCAACTTAAAGTATATCAATTCAGCATCAACTTAAAGTATATCAATTCAACGTCAACTTAAAGTATATCAATTCAACATCAACTTAAAGTATATCAATTCAACATCAACTTAAAGTATATCAATTCAACATCAACTTAAAGTATATTAATTCAACATTATATCAATTCAATAAGAACTATATATAACAAGTATATCAATTCAATATCAACATCAAATCAAAGTATATTAATTCAAATTCAAAAGTTCAAAGTGTGAAGTATATCAATTCAAAAAACTAGACAACTTGAGGCTACTTAACGCAAATTGCGAACTTTTTACGGTTGAATTGATAAACCAAGATGAAACAAACGCGTTTATAACTGCAATATATAGACCACCTGGTGGCTATATAAAATCTTTTGAGAAACACTTAACTCATTATATAAAACTAACTAAACACAAGCAAATATACTTAATGGGAGATTTTAATCTAGATCTTTTAAAAATAAAATTTAATAATACTACCGAAGGATTTCTAAATAACCTCCTTCAGTACTACATAGTACCTTTAATAAATAAGCCGACATGTGTAACTCGAAAAACCGCAACCCTTATCGATAACATCTTTACAAACAATTCTATAAAGTACAACATTCAAAGCGGAATAATAAGATCTGACATAAGTGACCACTTTCCAATTTTTTTTTCGCGTTTCCAAAGATTGAACGGAAAACTAAGCTCAAAAGCTAACAAAGTCCTTGGATGACAATTGGGCTTATCAAATCATCTAAAAAAATAAAAAAAACTCTATGAGAAGTTTCTGTAAAAAAGACCTATAAAAAATGAAAAAAAATTTTTTTGCAACTAAAATATTCCCAAAATACTTAAGAACACATGAAAGTGATATTTTAGCCTCCAAACCTATAGACATTGCCGAGAAATTTAACAGCTTCTTTACAAAAATTGGGGAAAAAAAAACTAGCTGACAAAGTAACTCCTGGAAAAACAAGTTTTAAATCATATTTGAAAAATAAAATTTTGTAATGGATGAGCATAATATAACTCCCAATGAGCTTCAAAGCGCCTTTAATTTCCTACAATCAAACAAAAGCCCAGGACCTGACGACATCAGCGCAAATGTTGTAAAAAGTGTCTACGATATTATTGAACATCTCCTTCTGCATATTTACAACATGTCTTTAAATCAAAGGCTATTTCCTAAACAGCTTTAAATGGCTAAAGTTGTTCCTGTATTTAAAAGCGGGGACGATTCTATGGTTTCTAACTATAGACCCATTTTTATTTTACCCTGTTTTTCAAAAATATTAGAGCGCATAATGCACAATAGAATCTATAACTTTCTAGTTAATCATCACCTCTTAAATAATAATAAATATGGATTTCAAAAATGACACTCAACAGAACGCTGTAGTCAAACTTGTAAATGAAATTTTAAATGGATTTGATAAAAATAAATATACTCTAGGAGTATTACTTGATCTTTCAAAAGCATTTGACACTGTTGACCATGAGATTCTTCTGTATAAACTCAATTCTATGGCCATTGCTATTCCTTATTTATATTAATGATATCTTCTCATTTTCCAATAAACTTAACTTTGTTATCTTTGCTGACGATACGCAAGTATTTT